TCTTAAGGGCTCAGTAGGAAACACTGTAGTAATACAGAAGCCAATTGAAAAGGAAGAAATAATATAATTACCTACTTGAAAATTCATAACAAGAAGGAAGTAAAGCCACAGGCTATAAACTTTCTAAACACAGAGTCCTGTGGGTCAAGCAGCAAGATTGCCCCAAGGTACTAAGGATGTGATGGGTGTATACTGACTCCAGAGCTCAAGCAGAAGACTCTTCTCATCAGTGCTCTGTCATCCCTCATGTATGTACCTGAATTGCCACAATACTGTGGCCTGCCTTTTGGACACACACTGCAACAAATCAGTGACTTAGTGCATAACCATACTCATCTTTAGAATGAGATTCTCCCGAGTACTTATGCAATGTAAAGGAAGCACTGCCTGTATGGACATTTTAAAAATGTGGGTGAATTCTATTGCTGTAAACATTTAAAACATTCTATTGTGTTTCTGAATCTCTGTGTTAAATTGGGTTTTGGAAACAATGCTTGGATTATGCAGATTGAGTAGTGAATAAAATGGCCATAGGTAAAGACAAGTCCACAAACAGTGAAGAGACAAGTGGTTCTTTCTGTCTTGTTAAGGATGAGCATTTTCAAGCAAAAGTAAAAATCACTTTTTCCCGGAAATATTATATACTTAAAATGTTGATTGAGAATGTTTCTCCAAAAACAAATAGAAGCAATCTGCCATAATAGGGTTGTGATAAAAAACAAACCAAAAAAAGTACTAGGAGACATAAAAATATCCATTGTAAGTTTTAAAAAAAACCACCAGGAGTCAACAAAGTATGGCCATTCCTAAAAGAAGGTTCATTCCTTTTGTGCCCACCTGGCTTTTAGTTGCACAGACTCATGGGAAAGGATCTGGTTACATCCCATGTGAAAAGTACATAAATCTAACTCAGAAGAATCCTCAAAGGTGATGGAGTCCAACCCAATAGTTTCTGATGTGGAAAGCTGTCTTCCACAACACTGCATGGATGTCAGCCATCCTGTATTAAACTTTCAGTGACCATAAATAAGCTGACCACCTAATGACAGAACCCAGTGTCTTTTTTATAGTTCCAGAGGCTCTCCATGATTTACTACCAACCAACTTCTCTAGCTTAGTGTCAAATGACTCTATTATTACTCACCCAAAGCAGCAGCCACACAGAACAGGTCTCAAGTGTTTATGCACTAGGTCCCTTATTCTTCTTTCTTTTATTTCTGTTGTCCCCTCTATCAACAATACCCTATGCCCAACCTACCACTGATTTACTAAAAGCATGTCCATCCTTAGAGTAATAGCACCTTCTTCCTGATGCCTCTCATAGCCCCAGCTAAAACCAACCCATCTCTCTTCTGTACATCTGTTTGTATACCTTTCTTTTTGCTATATTGGTTACAGCAGATATTATTACAATCATATACTGTTTCAGATTTCTGGGGCAGACACTCATCCCCTTGCCAAGTACACTTTACAAGACTGTTCACAGGAAATGTCTGTTGAACTAAAGTATAAGAAATTACCATTGCTATACATCTATAGGTACTTTTAAAGCAGCTTTATTACAACCTACCCATTTAAAATATGCAATTCTATGATTTTGGATTATAATCACAAAGTTATATAACCATTACCACCATCAAATTTTAGAACATTTTTATAATCGCAAAAAGAAACCTGGTATTCATTCGAAGTCCCTTTCCTACTGCACTGGTCCTAGGCAACCACTAACTTTCTTTGTCTCTATAGATCTGTCTGTTGTAGACATTTCATATAAATGGAAATATACAACGTGCAGTCCTTTATGACTGGTTCCTTTCACTTACATAATATGTTGCAAGATTCAACTGTGTTGTAGTATGTATCAGTACTTCATTCCTTTTTATTCCATTGTATGAGTCTATCACATTTTATTTATCCATCATCATTTGGACCTTTAAACTGTTTCCACCTTTAGGCTCTTTTACTACTATGAATATTTGTATATTTTTTGTGTGGTCATGTTTCATGTCACTTAGGTATACACGCAGGAATGAAATTCTCACCAATGCTTATCACCTGACTTCTTGATTTCAGCTATCCTACTTTGTATGAAGTGGTATATCATTGTGGTTTTTATTTGCATTTCCCTACTGAGTAATATTGTACTTGTTGGACATTTGTATATCATCTTTGGAGAGATGTCTACTCATATCTTTTCCCCATTTTTAAATTGGGTTATTTATCTTTTAATTGTTGCATTCTAAGAATCTTTTATATAAGCCCCGGCTGGCATAGCTTAATAGATTGAGCGCGGGCTGCGAACCAAAGTGTCGCAGGTTTGATTCCCAGTCAGGGTACATGCCTGGGTTGCAGGCCATGACCACCAGCACCCACACACTGGTGTTTCTCTCCCTCTCTCTCCTCTCTCCCTCTCTCTCTCTCCCCATTCCCTCTCTAAAAATAAATAAATAAAATCTAAAAAAACCCGAAACAGTCTTTTATTATAGTTCAGGTACATCTTGTAAGATATTTGATTTACAAACATTTTCTCTCATTCTGTGGGTTTTCTTTTCACTTTTTTGATGGTTTACTTTGTAGCACAAGTTCCTAATCTTAATGAAATCCAATTTTTTCTCTTTCACTGCTTGTGCTTTTGGTATCATGTCTAAGAAGCTCTGCCTAACACAAGACTGCAAAGATTTAATTCTAAATTTTCAAAGAGTATTCTAGTTTTAGCTCTTAAATTTAGATCATTAATCCATTTTGAGTTAATTTTTGCACAAAATGTGAGGAGGGACCCAATCTCATTCTTTTGTGTATGGCTATCCAATTGTTCTAGGACCATCTGTTGAAAAGACTACGAAATAAATGGAACAACTAATGATCTTGGCATTTTTATTGAAAATCAGTTGATCATAAACACATGGATTTAATGACTCAAATCTATTCCGCTGATCTATAAACCTACTCTTATGCCAATATCACAGTCTTGATTACTATAGCTTTGTAGCAAGTTTTGAAATCAGGAAGTGTCCTCTAACTTTATTCTTCTGTAAGATTGTTTTTGGTTATTCTGGGTCTCTTGAATTTCTACATGCATTTCAGGAACAGCCTGTCCATTTCTGTAAAAAAGCCACATGGGGCTTTAATAGGGACTGCATTAAGTCTGTAGACCAATTTGGGAGTACTACCATCTTAACAACAGTAAGTCTTCCAATCTATCATGTTCCAAAGAACATGAAATATCTTTCTATTTTTCTTCTTCTTCTTCTCTCTCTTTTTGGTTGGTAGGAAACACCTTTATTAATGGCCTTGATTTATTCATCATGTAGTGTCCAATGTGAATCGCATGTCCAGAGGAGCCATCTGGCACACTCAACTCTTTCCCAGCTGTGGCTGCCCCTGCAATCCAGACACCAGGCCTCTGTCCATCACATCAAGGAAGCCAACCCTACCTTCCCAGGAGTTCCTGGGGCACTACGGGTCAAGACTGTCCCATGGTTAGAACCTCAGTCTCTACCATTTTGGCCAGTGTTTCTGGGGAGAACAAGGCAGGGAACCTGGATGATCAGTTACTTTTTGGTTTTATGATCACTTAAAAACCAGAAAAGACAAGCATTCTACTAAAAACACACACACACACACACAAAAAACCAAAACCAAAACAAAACAAAACAAAACCAGGAGTCTGAGGAGAGAGGCTGTGGTTCTTCATCCTGGGAATCCCCCTTGAGGCCCAAGCAGCCATGCCCGCTGAGTTCTGCAGACCAAGCTGCAGTGCTCCGGGTGTCCTATCCAGCCACTGGCCCAAGCTGTAGGGCCAGTTGAAGTTCTTTCTTCCAAAAAGCAGCATGTTTTGGATCAGTGATGTGATGGGTGTCTTGCCCACCAGGCACATGAAGAACAGGGGGAGATGAGAGAAACTAGGACAATGTGCAGGGTGAGAAGCCACAGAAACAGGTGCTGGAAACACTCTTGTGGGACAGCTCCTAGGCCCACATGTATTGGGTGAGGGCCACCTGCACCTTCTCCGGCAGGCTCTTCACATGCACTGGATCCAGAGAGGCCACAGGCATCGAGTATGAACAGTCTGATGGCCTTGAGGCAAGAGTACTTGGTTGGGTCTACCTGCAGGGGCCCCAGCTTGTGCTCCTGGAAGGTGCATGTCCAGTCCATGAAGACCAGAGCAGCCATGGGCACAGCATGCAGACCAGTAATAGCCAGCAGCTGTGCTGCGTGCAGGTGCAGCGCAGCCTAGGACAATTTCAGCACAAAGAGCTCACTTTGGCTCAGGTGCAGCAGCGCCACCTGGTGGGCCACCAGCAGGTCATGGGAAGAAGGGCCCATGGCCCACCTAACTCCACAGGGCTGAATAGCAGCTGTGCTGACAGCTCTCATGTGTTGTCATGCCTGACACTGCGCCTGCCACACAGCTGCTGGTCCTGAAGCATACGACCAGGACTCAGGTCTGACACCAGCTGCCTGGGGAAAAGGTTCAAGACCACTCCCACTGCCTCGAGCAAGGAGCCCAGGGGGCTGGTGAGTATAGCTAGGTCTTTTTGAACTCACATGCATATCCTTTCATCTTATTGAAGACTTGGTAGTTCTCCCTGTTTACTGGGAATGCCTTATTTGGGTATTAAAATCACTGAGGTTTTCTAAGTGTTCTTTTTCTAAAACGTATTGAAGAAAAAGGTCACCAATGAGACAGATGATTGTTTTAACTTACATGTAATGTGCATGATTCTATTTTTATATATAAGTATACATTGTGTAATAGCATAGAAAAAACTTTGGAAGAAAATACACAAATTTGTTATAGTGGTTACCTCTGAAGAGGAGGAAGCAATAGGATGGAAAAGAGGAGAACTAGTACTCTTTACTTACAATTTTTTTTTTGCCATAAAAATGTTTTCATGTGTTTCTGGTATAATTTTAATACAAGTAACAGTAAATATAAATATGTCCCAGTAAAAGATTTTTCAATACATATCACCCTAAAAGTAAATAACCTGGCTGACCTTGAGATCGCAGGTGGTGTTGAGCAGCAGGTTGGAAGGTTTGAGGTCACGGTGCAGTACATTTGCTGAATGGATATATTTCAACCCTCTGAGGATCTGGTAAAGAAAATAGCAGATATGGTCGTTGCTGAGGTGTTGTGTCTTCAAGAGCTTGTAGAGATCTGTTTCCATGAGGTCCTGTACTATATATCTGTTTGGACAGGTTAAGGAAGCACACCAAATAGCTGTTCACACTTAGTAAAGCACTGAAAACAAATGAACCCTCTCTCCAAATGGTTCATTATTACATCATGAGGACCACGAGGGAAATGAGAAACTGATGAAAACTTGGTATTTCTTTATGGAAGGAATCTGAAGTAGTTAACTCCTTATTAGGTCCTATGAGACAAGCAGGCATTATACCTGCTTGATATGACCCATTACTGGCCTAGACTGAGATCTGAAACAGGCTGTTATGAAAACACTGGCCAATCTTAAAACACTAACCTTTTTGTTTTCCAAGTTGTCCACCATCAAAAAGCCCCTCCAAGGGGCTGCTGGGAAGAGCTGGGTGAGGGTGGTACCAACAAACATCACATACTCCCTCCTTTCTTTGGCCCACCAACAACTTGTAATGTTACTATTCTTTTACCTCCTCCTCCCTTCTTGTTACTGTCTTTTAAAAAATCAACCATAAAAGTTTTGGAAATATAGGCCTAAAGCACACTGCTATTAAATTCAACCCTCAGTCTATCTACTTGACTCTTCAATTAATGTTAAGATCTTAAATAACTATGAGGAAGTCATACCAAGAAGGATCTTATGCTAGTTTTGCTCTTCTTGCTATGTTATCTAAGCATCTAGAATTTTAGCTATGGCTAACTTCTTTCTTACAGATATTGAATTATAAAAGCCTTTAGCTTTTAACATCACCATAATATTATTTCATTAGCAATGCTTTTTGATTTCTTTTATTCATTTGTGTTATTATCTATGTCTCCTTTATATTTATGGTAGATGAGACACAGTATGGGATTTAATTGAAACTGACCTGAAACCTTGTCATCTGAAATCAAGATTTGATTTTTAAAAGGTAAAGCAGGACAACAGGTGGTAGGAGCAGGGACAGACGGCATTTCACTTAAAATATCACTACAACTTAGTAACATATATTTAAAAATTGAAAGGGCTACCTAGAGATAGCGAACTACCTCTCCCTGGAGAGGCAGAATGCAAATTAAGTGAACTGGTAGGATTGGCTACACTAACCAAAACTGTAAGTTTTTTTCTGGCAGATCCTCTTCAGTATTATTTAGTATCTTTATCTTTCAAATGTAGTCTTTATTCAGGGAGCATCCTCTGGACCTGCTTAGTCCAGATTTCTAAACATTGTGGTCATAGTAACACAATTTAGAGGTGAGTTACCTTAAAGATCATGAGGGCTAGTACCTTAATTTTAAAGATGAGAAAGCTGAGACCTAAACGTAAAATGACTTTGTCTAAGATTAGAACAGCCTGGATTTGATCAGGTGATATCCAGGGTACTCTCTCTTTCTTATACCCTGTCCCTCTTAGTCTGTGGTTCTTTCTTTTCCTTTTCACCATAAAAACAAACCATATCTTGAAGCTGTCTGTATCTGGAGAAAGCATGACTGGAAAATGCATTACCACATTTAAAGGAAATCTTTACTGAAACTGACAGGATAGAACACTGGATTTGTTAAAAGACACTAAAAATAGAACTGATAAAATGAATCAGAGAAAATTTTACATAATGTGAGTATGACAATAAATGGCAAACATATTACAATGTCCCCTTAAATGTGCTTTATATACTTCTCCTTTACTCTGGTAAATCCTTAACATTTCAAATTACATTTCGTCAACAAGGTAACCAAGCAGTGGAGTCTGCTGTTTGCAAAGGATACACATCTTTCATTTGCTCAATGGTTGGCGCTCGAATGATATCATTGATACCAATGATGTTCTCGTGTCTGAAGCGCAGTAAGATTTTTATCTCCCTCAGGGTTCTCTGGCAGTAGGTCTGGTGCTCAAAAGGACTGATTTTCTTGATAGCTACTCGAACTTTGTTGACATTGTCATAAGCAGAGCTAAAAAAAGGAAAAGGAGGAAGGAAGAGATTGCATTAAAAACAGTCCTCAGAATTATCTTGGTAGAAAGAATACAAACTGGTAAAGTATTAAGTGTTTAGCACTCTGGTTAAATACTTGTGAAGGCAGCATGTATATTATCCACAAAAAGGCCTCACACTAGGGAAGATGCAGCTGAACAATGTAGCAGAGGGCCTGGTCCTGGTAACTGTGAGTGCCCATTTTAATAAACCAAGCAACATGGATTTATGCCACACACACACAAAAATGTTTTTCTACTGTTTTTTTTTTTTTTTTAAAACAACAGCAGCATTCTGGTGAGAGTAATCACTTCTGCCTCCAAAACAACTTTCTACCGTTGTATTAGATTCCCCTGACTCAGGAGAAACATTTAAATGACCATCAATCATATCTTCATCCCTAGCAAAAGTGGACCCAAGAGGACACGCCTTGAATGCTTATATCAACTGTTTGTCTTACTTGCAAAATGACATCACTCTTTCTCTCCTCCCAAACTCCCTGAAGAAATTTAAGCAAGATGTCTGGGTAGTCTTATAACAAAACCTATAATGTACTCTTCAAAAAATACTTTCACAGCCCCAACAAAGGCCCAATTCTTTCCAAGTTGTCATTAAGGTCTGATATAATAGAAATCCAAGCAGTAACAATAATTATATTTTTAATTTCATGATAAATTTGAATCTTGAACATTACTTCTATCTTTATGATCAGTATTCTATTGGAGACTTTTTGTATTAATATCAACATCAGGTCCATTAATGAAAGCAATGAAATAACACTGACAGGCAATCAAGACATTACTTCTTGTTTCCTCAGGGTAAGCGCTATAAGTATAAAACAGTAAAAAATAAGTTTACTTCCTGTTTGTGCTTCTTGAATGATATTTATCAGTCTAATTATTCTGAAAATTATTTGATTTGACCATTGCAAACTATGCTATAGCAGGGACCTCATCTTACTCAGCTTCAATTCTCCCACAATACCATTAATATAGTGCACATAGATAACCCCAATACTTTAAAATGAAATGTATTTCCTTAAATACAAGAATCACTACTCGAATCTTATTTTGCCTTGATTTGCTGAATAAACACCCAAACCACTGATTTGCAGGTAGGCAGGCAAAAGGACACGTTGAACAAGCTTATTCAATATTGGGAATAAGTAATTTTAGAAATTAAAACTCTCTTTGGGTAATTCAAATCATAGAGCATGAGTTCAACAAAAGGGAACATTGGTTAATATAGTTGTAAAAGATTGGTTTAAACTCAACACTATGAAATTCTGGTTTTACTGAGACATGGTAGTCAGACACAGACATGACCATAAATTTGCTTTTAAGAACAAGACTGTTCAGGTGGCCTTGACTGGTGTGACTCAGTGGGTTGGGTATTGCCCTGGAAACCGAAAGGTCGCCAGTTCGGTTCTGGTCAGGGCACAAGCCTGGGCTGTGGACCAGGTCCCTGTTTGAGGGTGTGCAACATCTGAATGATGTTTCTCTCTCACATGGATGTTTCTCTCCCTCTCTTCCCCTCTCTCTATGAAAGAAAGAAAAAGGAAGGAAGGAAGGAAGGAAGGAAGGAAAAAGAAAGAGACAGACAGAGAGAGAGAGAGGGAGGGAGGGAGGGAGGCAGTCTTAAAAGACTGCTGAGGGGAGGGTTTATGGTCAGAGTGCCCCTTCAATTGTATCAACACTCAGTGATAAAAAACCTGTTTTAAGAGAGAAGGCGTAAGATTACTCTCATTGGTTCCCACTTGAAAAGAAGGTGTGACCCTACTATCTATGGAGCTGTGTCTGTTTTTGTCTGTTCTTCTACTCCATTCTGCTGAGTTTTTGGTTCACACTATCTGCTGCAGAACTGATCACAAAGAGTTTATACTCTTCCCCAACAACTCTGTATTTGCTCATTTCTCCTTGAGTTTCTCAGTTTTGTTTTATATTTTTACTGTTCTGATACCTGGCAAATGTATTTTATTGGGTATATCTTTTACAACAGAGTATTTGGCATCTCTTAATACTGTTTTAAAGAGGGAAAAAGAGAGGGAGAGAAACATGGAAGTGAGAGAGAAACATGGAAGTGAGAGAGAAACATCAATCTGTTGCCTTTCTTCATGCCCCAAACAGGAGACAGAACTGCAACCCAGGCATGTGCCCTGACCAGGAATCAAACCAGTAACCTTTCACTTTGTGGGATAATGCCCAACTGACTGAGCCACACTGGTCAGGACAATGCAGTGTTTGTTTTAAAATCTCTCTGGTGTTACCAACCCTACTTTCTTCTTCTTTTTTTTTTTCTCTGAGAACTTAATCTGCTGATCTCCCATCTCCCAACTATTGCCATGCCACAGCTTTTGCTTTAAATTTGAGTCCTGTAAACAACCTATGGTTGCAGTTTGGGATCTTAATCCAATCTGCGACTATACTTTGGGTGGATTAATTTTAGATAATTGTATTTTTCTTTTAGCTGATGGACTTGCTCTTTTCAAAAATAAAAATTCAAGGTTAAATAAACTATTCAAGGTTAGGAGAATGAGGAGTTTCCTAACTCATCCCTGTAATGTGAATAATCATTGTAAATAAAGAAAGACTTCCAGTCCAAAATGGCAGCATAGGAAGACCATGAACTCACCTCTTCCCACACACACATCAAATTTACACTTACAGATAGATCAATGAGCCCTGAAGAAGAAATGAGGGCAGAATGAACAGCTTCTGTACAATGGACCAGAGAGAGAGACCATACAGAAACAGGCAGGAGAGATGGAGACACAGTACCATGGGAACCACATCCCCAAAGCAATGACCTGCAATATGGAGGAATCACTAAAGGACCTATGCACAGACTTGCCTGCCCTGAGGTACAATGAATAAATGGTGGTTTAAAGGGCACTTAGACTATACCAGAAGGACATCCAGTTCCTAACCCTATAGTACCTGCCAAATGGGAGGGGAACTGCTGGACCACTTTCTTACACCACATACATACAAAAATAAACTCAAAATGTGTTTAAAGACTTACATATAAGGCCTGAAACCATAAAACTGCTAGGAGAAAAAAGGCAATAAGCTCTTTGACACTGATCTTAACAATACTTTTTTTTTAGATATATCTCCTTGGGCAAAGGCAACAAAAGCAACAAAAAACTCATGAAACTGCATCAAACTGCAAAGTTTCTGCATAGCAAAAGAAAACCACCCAAAATATGAAACAGCAACTTATTGAATGGGATATGATATTTGCAAATGATATATATGATTAGGGTTAATACTCCAAAACATAAAGAACTGATACAACTCAACATCAAATAAACACAGATCCTATTAAAAAAATAGGTGAAGGACCTAAATAGAGATTGGCCAACAGATGCATGAAAGGATGTTCAATATCAATAATCATTAGAGTAATACAAATCAAAACCACAATGAGATATCACCTCATACCTGTCAGAATGGGTATTATCCAAAAGATAACAAATAAGTATTGGCAGGGGTGTGGAAACAAAGGGAAACCTCATGCAATGTTGGTGAGACAGTAAATTAAATGCAGCCACTCTAAAGAACAGTATGGAGATTTTTCAAAAAGTTAAAAATATGCCCTGACCGCAAAGCAAAAGGCTGCTGGTTTGATTATGGGCAGGGCACATGCCTGGGCTGCAGATTTGATCTCCAGTCAGGGTGTGTACAAGAGGCAACCAACTGATGTTTTTCTCCCTCCCTTTCCCTCTCTCCAAAAATAAATTAAAAAAAAAATTAAAAATACAACTACTGCCCTGGCTGGCGTAGCTCAGTAGATTGAGTGTGGGCTGCGAACCAAAGCATCGAAAATTTGATTCCCAGTCAGGGCACATGCCTGGGTTGCAGGCCACAGCCCCCAGCAACCGCACATTGATGTCGATGTCTCTCTCTCTCTCTCTCTCTCTCTCTCTCTCTCCCTCCCCTCTCTAAAAATAAATAAATAAAATCTTTTAAAAAATTATATTAAAAAATACAACTACCATACACATCTGGGGATTTATCCAAAAATAATGAAAACAATATTTTGAACAGACTATATACCCCATGTTCACTGCAGCACAGCACTGTTTACAATAGACAAGATATAGAAGCAACCTAGGTGTCCATCAACAGATGGATGAAGTTGTGATACGTATATATAAGTGGAATTTACTCAGCCATAAAAAAGAGTGAAATCTTGCCATTGGCAACAACATGAGTAGTCGTAGAGAGAATTGTGTTAAGTGAAATAAGCTGAACAGAGAAGGACAAATACTGTATGATTTCACTTTATCTATGGAAACAACAACAAAACAAACAAATGAACAAGATGAATCAGAAACAAATTCACAGATACAGAGAATAAACTTATAAAATAAGTCAAGAAATGTAATGTACAGCATAGGTCACAGAGTCAATAATACTGTAATAACTATGTATGGTGGTGAACTAAATGGTTACTAAATTTATTATGGTAACCACTTTGTAAGGTATATAAGTGTTGAATCAATATACCGTACACCTCAAACTAATATAATTCTGTATGTCAATTATAATAAAAAAATTTAAAAAATAAAGAATAATTGATGACAAAGAACAAAAATCAAAACTAAAGAACAATCTCATTTACAAGCACAAAAATTAAATAAGTAAATATAATTTGATAACATATTAAAATAATTAAGTCTAAGTAACAGTTAATCTTAGGAACTCAAGAATGGTTTGATTAAAAAGAAACATTAAAAATAAGATATGTCAAATAGATATTCCTCCAAAGACGACACACAAATGCCCAGCAAGCATATAAAAAGTTGCTTAACATCATTAATTAGAGAAATGCAAACTAGAAGCACAACAAGCAATCACTGTACAACCATAAGGACTGCCACTTAAAAAAAAAGTGGTAGAATGTGGAGGAAGCTGGAATCCTTGTGCACTGTTGTAATATAAAATGGCCCAGCCACTATGAAAAACAGTATGGAAG